CTTTGCTGCACCCCCCCCCCCCCTCCATCTTCTTACTTACAAGTAATGCTCCGAGTCCCACATTTTATTGCTTAGACTCTCTGCCGCACCCCCCTCCGCTGATCTGGTCCTGCTGTCACTTTCACGCTCGTTTTTACATGTCTCAGTGATGTCGCTAACATATACACTTTTGCTTAGAAATAAATTTTGCTTGAGTCTTCTTAAGTTCATTATTTCTGAGTGTTAAGTTTTCTTATGTTCCTTGTTCTCCTTTGCCACCTTATGTAGTTTACTAAGTAAAATAAGGCAAAAAAAGCACTCGAACATTTTCCTGATGTAGGATATATTGTACCGCTTTGCTTGTGTCTGCGCCACCTGTATACTCTGGGAAGTAGGTCTCGATGGGTGACTGCAAAAGTGTCAATGAATCTGCGTGCGCCCTGTAAAATGTAAGAGACCTTCGGAAGCTTGTTCTTGAAGACATCTATCTTGTTCAACAGTAAGATGAAAGAAGAATGCAGAAACCAGCGCGAGTTGAATCACAGTATCAAAAAGATCTAGTGATTCAGCCATGCGATTCTATTGGCAAAATCAGTTATGACTAGTGCTTGCCTGCATACAGTGGCCTACCTGGGTTTTTTCTTCTAGTAGCACCTGATCGTACTCCACTAACGAGGCACAGAATACAATGGTGTTGACAGATTCAAAACAGTGTATCCACTGCTTGCGTTGTGAGCTGCTGGCCGCCAACATCAAACATATGAATGCTACAGGACCATGATCAAAAAGAGAACCATTGACATGCTGATGCACTCACGAAAGCCATCCTATTTGAAACCGTGTTTTCGTTACACCAGTTGTCTGAGCTCCAGCTCGCAGTACATCATTCTCTGTTGGTATATAGTCAGGGGTGCCTATACAGAGTACCTCCGTAAAGAAACTGCGAACATACACTTCATGACCACCTGTTATTAAGCGAAGACAAGTACCCACTAGCTTGCAGAGTCCATAAGATAGAACTCGCTCGCACAGTCCATAACCTTCTGAATGGCATGGTCCTGCCATATCTCATGAATGGCTTGTGCAATATCAGCCGAGAAAACAAAATTGGGATCATGTTCAATCCTGTATTCAATAATGCGTTCAGCAAATACCTACCGAAGGCAATGAGCTAATGTAGGAGACACATTTAGAGAGAACACACCCGATTGGTTGGCTTTATACACTCCATATTCATCTTGTGCATCTGGAGTATGATGGCCTGTGCAGAGTCAAGGGTGTTGTGATATATTATTGTGTGGAAAGTCACGAGCTCGCTGTTGGTGAAACCATGTCCATAAACTATTTTCATCTGATTGACAATTGTCGACTTTCCAGATTCGCTGGTACCTGTGGACGGATTTAAGCAGTGAGAACAAAATACTTAGTCAGTTAAGGAGCAGAACCAAGGAAATGACTTATAACCATGGCTCGATTGAAGAGGAGAGGTTGAAATAGACCAGAAAGGAATTCCAAGGTACCCACCGAGAAGGAGTATTTTGAAGTTGTACTCTTCCCTGAACTTCTTGGAATCTTTTTCTATTTGACAATGGCTGATGACCTCTGAGCAGGCCTTTGTTGCTCTGTCTATCGCAGAAACATAGTTACCCATGAATGGAAAGGAAAGGAAAGCTGGGAAGTATTGTAAGGACGATGTTGAGAGGGTCAGTTCAAGTTGAGGACCACAAGTCCCGTGTCAAAATAGGATCCTGGACTATACTATAACTAGAAGTCTAGGGGTACAGGCCTGAGGCGATGAAGAGGAGGGTATAATGCAGGTATGTATGCAAGACCTATGCCAGTGTGGAGCGCAGCGAACTCCTCCACTGAGAGGATGCAGTGATGCTAGAGGATAGGTGGAGATCGGGGTGCCAGTGGCTTGCCGAGCGGATGGAATAGCGCAAGATAAGTGCTCGTTATCTTTCCTCTATGTCACAGCATCATAATGCCCTTTGTAGAATTCAGATTGGAGAAGTCTGATATGACGTTGAGTTGGGATTAGTTATCTTCCATCATCTAACTAACTGAGATATCTTCACCAAGGACGCCCTTGCCTGAACTCCAAGGTGCAGATAAATTTTTCAAGTTATGCTGGCAATGCTTTCCTGACGCGCGCTTCACATTGTTTCCCACTTCTCATCAACACTTGATCCCATTGCAGTGGCTGCTGTGACGCATCTGCTCACACCTGACGACTGGAACGGCAGACTTACAAATTTCAATTCCAAGATCGCAAGACAGGTATGTTGAAAGACGTATCACATGGCATAATGGCGAACTGCAATCAATATTTCCTCTCTGCAAGCCCAGTTCGATGTATGGAGTTTGATAGAGACGCGAAGTGAGACTTTTGCCAAGTCCTGATCAAAACCGCGCTGATAAAACTGGCGCCAAGAGATTTGCATTCATAGTCATATATCTGATATCTTTTGATTATGAACACATTTGACTCAATCACGCCGTCTTATACTTGGTGGGGTCGCCTCAGAAGACTTCTGCAAGTAAAACCAGCTTCGCAAGGCCCAAACAAAACGCATGGTCACCATGTTCTGGGTTCTGAGTGACTTAACTCGAGCGTATGGACTTCCAGATAGAGCACCACCACGGCCTTAACTGGGCGGCATGCATGCCACACAGGAAATGCAGTTGGGAGGGAGTGCACGTGCAGCTGGGGTAGGGAACATTTAGGTCTACAGACTTGCACCCAGGAATGGTGCTGACATCGTGGGTGAACAAGCAAAAGACACAACAAGATTTACAAAAGAACTTAAATATGAAATAGTCATCCACATGCTGCTAGTATTAATGACTATCGACATGTGGGGGAGATACACAACAGAAAAAAAGCACGAAACGAGCCCACAATGGAAGGGGTCGTGACTGTGTGCTTGCTGTACCTGGAGTAGTAGTATTAGCATCAGGAAAAGGAGGTGTTGTGGACGTTGAGGCAGCAGTAGGTTGTGTTTGTGATGATGGCATCTGGGCATGGACTTCGGCTTGCAACTGACCTTGTTGCTGCTGTGTTTTTTGCAGCCCACTGAGGAGATGCACAGCAGAGCAAAAGTACAAGATAAGCCCACAATGTAGTGGCAACAGGCAGAGGGCAGAGGGCGTCGTTCTGGTGGCCAAGTAACAAATATTGGCTACACAAAGATCATCAGACACCAGCAATCCGCACACCGAAGAATGACATACCTGTCTGTCTCACATTGCAGCAACGTCGACAACATGGCAACTGCAACTTGGAGAGGAGATATTTTGACCTGGGCAGTTGTACGAGCTCAATGGCTTCATCAGTGTCGAGTGGAGAGCGGAACAGTGAGGTCAGGCGACCGATGAGTTCATCCAGTTGAGGGTCGCTGAGGTTTGGTTGCTTCATCGGTGTTGGGTTGGAAGTGGCGCAAGAATGAGGACATGCGACCGAGGAGCTCATGTGGACCATTGTTGGATCGAGAGCGGTGAAGGAGCGACGAAATTCGGCTGAGAAGAGCACTGACAGCGCCGCACGTTGCGGAGGACTGAGAGCACATTAGTCCGAATGACAACTATGAATAGAAATGCTAATTGCCACGTACTTCCAAAAATGACATGTTATCTATGTCCTGCAAGGAGTAGGGAATGGGCTCTTTTCCTGACTCGGAAGTGCCATGAAATAATGTATTTGCCTTCTGTTTGAGACAATTTTTTGGTGCCTGGTAGTGTGTTGTCAGTGGGGGGCTGAGAGGGTGACATGTTGACACTCACATTGGGAATGGAAAGGAGGTCTTCTAGACCAGCTTCTTCGAGGATAGCGTGAATGTCCCACGCGTACGCATTTTTGTCATTGCAACTGGTGACTAGCAGCTTTCCATCATTGGAAAAGGCTGCACATGTCAAATCCTGTTTGTGCTGGAGGGGTGGACCAACCGGGAGGTTCATATCAAGATTCCACAGATGTGCTGTGGAATCAGGTGATGCACTCGCAAGGAGGCGGTCATTCCGAAACAAGGAGATGCTGATGACCGAGGATGTGTGTGTTGGAATCTGACGAGACGAAGGAAACGGAAGACGGACCGTAGAAGATGAGAGTGAAACAGTACGAGCGCAACCAGTGAGTACGACGAGGCGACGCGTTGACGTCGGCCGAGGCTCGTCGATATTGGAATGTCTATCTCTAAGTACGGACAATTTACTTATCATTTACTTATCTATCCTATCCGTACTATAAAGGACCGAACGAGTCGTTAGAACATCTCAGGTCTTTTCATAGAGCCTGAGATGTAAGTCTCATATATTTTTCGCGTTATTCTAAAGAGCTAACATACCATTAGATATTTATTCTACTAGGTACTTTACCCGCTCTTACTAGAGGTCTTTTCATAGAGCCTGAGATATATTTATTCTACTAGCTCCCGCTTCGTGCGCCGCTCGCCTGAACTCACTTTAGTGTGACCTTCAAGAACGGCGATTTGAAGCCAAGTGGTAGTATCAAAGATCATAATTGAGCCTAATGACCCGGTAATAAGCTTCTGTCCATCCGAGGTCCATGCCAGGCTGCAAACTAATCGATCGTGTTTGAGTGTGGTGAGCAGCTTGCCCCTCTTTGCATCCCAGATCTTTGCTGCATTCTCATATACGTTATATGCTCCACCTGTCGTAATTTTGGTTTTGTCGGGCGAGTAGATCACCGCGTACACCCAAGCGTGTCCAGTCTGGATTCTCAGGACTGTTTTGCCCCTTTTGACATCCCACACTGTTGCCGTCCCGTCGATGGATCCGCTCGCTACCCGCTCACTATCTGCACTCCAGCACACTGACCACACATGCCTAGGGTGCCCTGTCCATTTTGCAATGACCTCCCCCTTCTCGATGTCCCACAACCTCACTATCCCACCATCACTTTCGCTTGCGACAGTCTTGCCGTCTGGAGACAATGCTATGCTCCACACTGCTGCATGCTTCCCCTCATCTTTCCATTTCTCTCCTATCTGTGCGCCACTCTCTAGGTCCCATACTCGGAGCGAGCCGTCCTTCGAACCTGTGATGATGCATCGTCCGCCGGGCAGGTGCACAACACCATTTACCCAGTTGGTGTGGCCTCGCATCGTCTGGCAGGGTACGATTCCTGGCTTCAAGGACATGGTTCGCGCTTGGAGTCGTGGACTAGGTATGTCAGAGAAGCCTGTCGGGAGCTTTAAAGTAGAATGGGATATCTGCTTGAAGGCAAAGGTTGTTGGTGAGTTGTCGGCCCCATTCTCTTTCACCTCGATTCGAAGCGCACCAGTTGCTCACGAAAATGCCTTCTTATAGGAACTCAATCCCGACCTTCAAGATGGCTATGTATGTGGGTGTTGGTCCGAAGTTATTCACAAAGAGATCTTTGCAAGTATCCAAAGTCGCTGGTAAGCAAATGGGCAGCTTTACAGCTTGGAGTATCACTCACGAAATTCTAATAGCATTCAACCCAACACACACAGACGACACTCCGATCGCCAATACGAGGGACGGATTGTGAGCTGAGACAATGGGCGTTTGGTTCGGAATCGAGGAAGTTGGGCGCCCGTTCATTTAAGTTGTCTTGTAAGGTGTGTGCCACACTGGTATTCTCGTGCACAGGCTGATTGCTGTGTAGATGAAGCGCTCGGGTCCTGCAACCAGTGCTATGTGCATTTTCTTGTACGTAAGAACGACATTGATGGTTGTGACAAACATTCGACAGGGTCTCGCGCATCCTCTCAACTCCAGCATATTCCTTCCGATCTGTATATTTTCGAACAAAGCGAACCTAGCTACGAGAATGCACCGCTTAAATATGTCCTCGACCCCTAACGTTTCGTCTCCCAGGCTGGTGTCAGACATGATATCCTACAAGAAGCCAAGGAACTCACCAGATGTCGCTGTCTACCATGCAAAAATCGCAAATCCAATACTACCTCTAGACAGACAGTGCGCCCCATATACTTCGAGAAAAATAATGCTTGACTTCATCTAGATCCTCATCCCAGTACCCTGGGGCTTCATGGCATGGCGAAACGGCGACGCTCACATTGGCGATTCGTGACCGAGGTCCTGTTGGTGAAGAGACCATGCGTTGTGCTGGCATTTCAGCCCAACTCTACGAAATGTGAAAGGTCCATCTGATAAGGAAGCGGGATTTCCTAAAGACCGGATACCGGCTGATGAATTGACCTGTAATTCAGATTCCACATTTCCGTCCAACGCGTACTCAGTATCATTACTTTGACCGTCTACTCTGATCCTACTCGATATTGGCCTTCTCGATCTTTCTCTTCCTCTCCAACAGCTCACATTCAACTCCTGAGAGATCAACGTGAGTAAACTTGTCCAACGGACATGAAAGGATAAGGGGCGGCACACGAACGAGTTAATCTTAGGTAACAATAATGATTTGCATAGCGCTGACACGTCGAACTGCGAGAGTACTAGTAGTACCGGGTGCTGGAAAAGTAGTCGTGACCTGCTGAGGAAGTGGTCGCAGCTCAATATTCAAAAATCAATTGAGGTCACTAGGCAAAGAAACAGGGTAGATGAAAGCGAGTTTCCGGAGTCGAGAAGTCAGAAATGCGTTCAGCGAGGCTATCAATATTGATCAATCGATCCCGGAGAGCGTCCATCATTACACGAACATATAAGATATAAAAAATCGAGAGTATGAGAGAAAGGATGACACTGTCGGATGTCAGACGCAGACGAAGAACACTACGACCTTCAACTGAAATTCAAACTCCGCAGCTCAACATCGCATTGTGAGTTGCAAATTGTGTTGATAGGATGGATGAGAGTGAGCCAAGCGGGACCCTTGTCTCTGTGATGCCATCACGGAAGTTCTGGTAAAAATCCAGATTTGCGCAGATGAAGCCAAGTAATGCGCCACTGTCAGTGTCTAATGTGCCAGTGGGAGTATGATCCCTCTATTCACCCTCTTCAATCAGTTCACTGTGCTGGGTAAGTGGGGGACGCCATCGAGTTCTCACCTGGAGATCAGCTCGTGTTCGATCTGGATTTAAGAGAGGCGCGGATTCAGAGGTCCCATCGGATGCGACGTTTGCTTTGAGTTCGCGTGTGCTGGACGACCAATAGCCAAAGAATGACAACTCCAAGAGAGACCCCTCCAATAACTCCAACAAGGACTAAGTCATATGTGAAGACTGGACTGAGAGTCACAAGGACATCAGTGGGTAGTGCTTTGAGCGCTTCATGGCTAGCTGAGAATTATGATGAAAGGCAAGAAGTCATCATAGAGACAGATACTCACGTGACTTGTATCGCACTATTGAAGGGAAGAATCATACAAATTACGGGATTCGCCAGGAGTAATTTGATCGCAGTTGCAGGTGGGCAGATAAGCAGGGCAGGGGGATGCACATCTGTGAGAAGGCAGCGAATAAGGTACTCGTGAGCGCTACGGTAAAGCTGTGCTGGCCAAGGCTTCCTGTGCTAACTTGAATGCAGTGTTCTCATTATAGTTGGTTGAGGACACATGACGGACACAGGCAAGGGGCCTACTTGCAATAAAGGCACATAGTCGTTCCTCCTTTGTGGTATTTTCGCCAGTCGTCGAGTACACCTTGAGAATGTTACCACCTAAGTAATCACATGGGGAGATGACTGTAAGCCTGGTGGCTTACGTACGCCTACACATATGGTTCATTGCATCGTAGACACCTCTTTCCCTTAGCTTGTACCTTACCGTCGTCGTCGTTCTCGCAATCCAGAACATGGTTCTGTTTTGTTTCGTGTGTTTCTTCAGCGTTTCTCGTCGTTGGCCACGACTTGTTTACAATGACATAGGGAGAGATAGCATATCAGGACCAACATAGCATGTTGCTGCATCTCTGCTAGTTAGGCAGCATGTATCCCGGTGTAAGGAGTTTTACACATGCCTAGGAAATGTTAGTTAGTTTTTATGGACGTGCTGGTATCACTGTCAGAATTGATGCTGACAGGATGACTGACACACGAGCAGCTAGATTTTCAGCCTGGACATGTTGCTAGAAACTACCTGGGGCGTCTTCACGGAATAACATTCAAACCGCCCGAGGAACGGAAATGGACGTCGTTGATGGACTAGCGAAAGACATCGACAAAGAGATAATAGTACTCATAAAAGAACTAGACGCAAACGAGAACTACATACTGCAGTCCCAGGAGATGTACAACAGAAAAAACGAAATATCCCCGCGATGGAAGGGGTTATGACTGCGTGCCTACTGCTAGCGCAGTATCAGGAGGTGTCGTGGACGTCGAGGCGGCGGCCGGCTGAGTTTGCGATGATGATGCCTGGGCCTGGTCTTGATCTTGTGATTGGGCTTGCTGCTGCTGTGTTCGTTCCACCATTTGAGGAGATGCACAGCAGAGCAAAAGCACAAGATAAGCCCACAATGTAGTGACAGGTCGAGGGCGTGAAGGACGTGGTTCTGGCAGTCGAGTGACGACCAATGACTACAGACAAATCGTTGAACCACGTTTGAAAATATACCAGAAGAAAGACGTACCCGTTTGTCCCGTATTGCAGGAACTTCAATGATATGAGGACCACGAGGAGAAAAGAGAGTGCGCCTGGGGCGCTGCTGAAGTTCGGTTGCTTCACCGGTGTCGGAGTGAGAGCGGTGGAAGAGCAATGAAAAGCGACCGAGAAGCGGACGTGGATTTGCCGAAGAAGATGCGAGAGAGCGGTGGCGGGCAGAGGAACGGTGATCGATACTGCGCCTTGCAGAGGACTGGACCCAAACAGGTCAGAATGAATATTGATTCAAAACGGTGAAGACCCACATCATCGAAAAAACCTGGTGGTAGTCGACGGGCGTCCTTGAGGCGGGCTGGATGTTGCGTAGCATCACTCTAGAAGGTTGACATAAAATGATTGAAAAAATCGGGAAACACGTCACATACATTCATTAACGACTTTCTAGCTGGGACCTGCGAATAGGAAATTAGCTTGGTCTTCAGCAAAGAAATTACACTTACACTGGGAGTGGACAGTAGATCTTCGAAACCAGCTTCTTTGAGGATAGCGTGAATGTCCCAGACATGCACATTTTTGTCCTCGCAACCAGTAACTAACAGTGTTCCATCACTGGAAAAGGCTGCACATCTCAAATCCTCTCTGTGCTGAAGGGGTGGACCAACTGGGAGGTTCGTGTCGAGGTTCCACAGACGCGCTGTTCCATCATATGATACACTTGCAAGGAGGCGATCATTTCGAAACAACGAGAAGGCGCGGATAGTGTTTGTGTGACCTTCCAGAACGGCAATCTGCTGCCATGTGGCTGTGTCGAAGATCCTAATGAAGCCACCCCTTGACCCGGAGATAAGCCTCGATGTTTATGTCAAGCCGAAAACTGTTCGATCATGTTTGAGTGTGGCGAGCAGCTCGCCCGTCTTTGTATTCCAGATTTTAACATCCTTGTATTCTCCGCTCGTCGCGATTTTTGACGAGTCGGGCGAGTATATCACCGTATCCACATGGTAGTGCCCGGTCTTGATTTCCAGGAGTGTTTTTCCACTCTTGACATCCCACTCCTTTAACATCTCGTCGCATGATCCGCTCAAGACTCGCTCACCATCCGCCCTCCAGCACACTGACCACACAATCATAGTGTCCGCTGTCCATTTGGCGATAACCTTTCCCTTCTCGACGTCCCACAACCTCACTTTCCCATCTTCACTTCCGCTTGCAACGGTATGGCCGTTTGGAGACAATGCTATGGCCCACACTCCTTCATTCTCCCCCTCATCTTTCCAGTCCTCTCCTATCTGTGCACCACTCTCTAGGTCCCATAGTCGGAGCGAGCCGTCCGTTGAACCTGTGATGATGTGTCGTCCGCCAGGCAGGTGCACAACACCCATTACCCAGGCGGTGTGGCCTTGTATCGTCTGACGGGGCACGACGTCTGGTGCCCCTCGCTTTTCACTGGTCGAGGAAGGCATGGTCAGCCTTTGGGATGGTAGATCGTGGAATATATATGCGAAGGAAGCCTGCCGGGATATTTGAATTAGAGCTGGTTATCTGGCGGGGCAAACATTGTTGGTGAGTTGCCTGCCCTATTCTCTTTCAATTAGAAGCGCACAAGTTGCTCACGCCACAAGATTGCTTCGGGTTCTGCATGCAGGTGGTGTTGCGGTGTTATTCGAGAATTCACAATAGATATTTGCGGGTATCCAAAGTGGCTGGTAAGCGAGTGGTCAGCTTCACAGTTTAAAGTATCACTCACGAGAAACACTGTTCAGATCAACTCAAACAGATGACACTCCAATCACAAATGCGAGGGACCGTTTGGAAGCTGCCAGAGACAGTGGGTGTTTGGTTCGAAGTCAAGGAAGTTGGGCGCCCATCTTCAAGTCGCCTTAATATAGGTGCGTCCCATATGTTGTCCCCATGGAGAAGGCAAGTCTTGATGACCCGGATGCCCGCATCACCAACATATTAGTAAGTTCTCCCCCTTGTGCGCAAGTATCGGAGCGCTATACGTTATTCTGCTATGAACTGCAAGCATATATGTGAGCATAGGAACACTGATGAAGGGGACACACGAGCAGAGCATATCCACCATATAAGTATGAGCAATAAGTCACGTAGTAATCTGAAGCGTTTGTAGTTTGACCAATGACGACGAGCATTGTTCAAAGTCAAGAAACGGGGATGGAGGATACAAACCGTGGCCATGGACAATAAACTTTCATTGCGTCTGTTCGCATGTTCGAACTCTGCAGCCGCCCAGAGTCAAGCCGTTCCGCATTATCATCCATGCAGTCAAGATCGTCCTGTGGATGGCATGGTGAGTCTCAGGAGTTCTCAGTTGTTAGAGCTTCCGCACATCCCATTTGCCATCTCTCATGATCACCTATGCAGGATCCAAGTTCTTCTGGTTCTAAATTTTCCGCTCCACACCACTTCTGCCTAACCATCTCACCCAGCATGATCTCATAATTGTGGTTCGTCAGTGTTATGCCTAATGAGTTCTTCCATACTCTGATCACGCGCCGTTTCAAACTAACCAGCATATGCTTCATAGCGTTAAAACCAACCCGACGTTGAGGAGGTTGTGGAAATCGAAGGTCTGTGTCTAAATGGATGACATTGATAGAATAGCGAAAGACATTGTCAAAGAAATACTGAAATTTAAAAGAGAACTAGACCAAAGATGAAGCAGTTGTCTACATGTTGCAGTATTAATGACTGTCTGCATGTGGGGGGAGATGGACAGCAGAGAAAAAGCATGAAATGAGCCCGCGATAGAAGGGGTCACGACTGTGTGCCTGTCCCACCTGGCGCAATACTAGGAGGTGTCGTCGACGAGGGGGCGGCAGGCTGAGTTTGCGATGATGATGCCTGAGCCTGGTCTTGTGATTGGCCTTTCTGCTGCTGTGTTCGTGTCACCATTTGAGGAGATGCGCAGCAGAGCAAAAGCACAAGATAAGCCCACAATGTAGTGACAGGTCGAGGGGGTGTAGGACGTGGTTCTGGCGGCCGAGTAACGGCCAATGGCTGCAGAGAAATCATCATTGAACCACGGCGTTTGGGAACGCACGCGAAGGACGTACCCGTTTATCCTGTACTGCAGGAACTTCAACGACATGCGGACCATGAGGAGAAAAGAGAGTGCGCCTGGGGCGTTGCTGCAATTCGACTGCTTCACCAGTGCCGGAGTGAGAGCGGTGGAAAAAGCGACCAAGGAGCGCACGTGGATTCACCAAAGAGGATGTGAGAGCGCGGTGGTTGGCAGAGGAACGGGGATCGATACTGCACCTTGGGAAGGACTGAACGCAAACAGGTCAGAATGAATATTGATTCAAAACGGCGACGACCCACGTCATCGAAAAAACCTGGTGGTAGTCGACGGGCGTCCTTGAGGTGGGCTGAACGTCGCGTAGCATCACTCTAGAAGGTTGATATAAAATGATTGAAAAGATCGGGAAACATGTCACATACATTCAATAACGACTCTCTAGCTGGGACCTGTGAATAGGAAATTAGCTTGGTCTTTAGCAAAGAGATTACACTCACACTGGGTATGAACAGGAGGTCTTCGGAACCAGCTTCTTTCAGGATAGCGTGAATGTCCCACACGTACGCATTTTTGTCGGTGGAGCCCGTGACTAGCAGCTTCCCATCAACAGAAAGGGTTGCACATCTCAAATCCTCTTTGTGCTGAAGGGGTGGGCCGACTGGGAGGTTGGTGTCGAGATCCCATATACGCGCTGTATGATCAAATGATACACTCGCAAGGAGGCGCCCATTCTGAAATAAGGAGAGGGCGCGGACAGTGTCCAAGTGACTCTCCAGAATGGCGATTTGCTGCCAAGTGGCTGTGTCGAATATTCGAATCGGGCCATCACATGTCCCGGAGATAAGCTTCTTTTCATCCGACGTCCATGTCAACGTCGAAACTGCTCGATCGTGTTTGAGTGTGTCGAGTAAGTCGCCCGTCTTCGCATCCCAGATTTTTAGTGCATTCTCATTGTATCCGCCCGTCCCAATTTTTGTTGAGTCCGGCGAGTAGATCGCCGTATACACAAAGTGGTGCCCGGTCTTGATTGTCAGGACTGTTTTGTCAATCTTGACATCCCACACTCTTGCTGTCCCGTCGTCAGATACGCTCAAGACTCGCTCACCGTCCCCACTCCAGCACACTGACAACACGTAATTAGTGTCCCCTGCCCATTTCGTGACGACCTTCCCCTTCTCGATATCCCACAACCTCACTATCCCGCCATCACTTCCACTTGCGACAGTCTTGCCGTTTGGAGATAATGCTATGGCCCACACTGCTGCCTTTTTCCCCTCATCTTTCCAGTCCTCTCCTATCTGTGTGCCACTTTCTAGGTCCCATAGTCGGAGCGAGCCGTCCTCCGAACCCGTCAAGATCCGTCGTCTGCCAGGCAGGTGCACAACACCCATCACCCAGCCGGTATGGCCTTGGATTGTCTGGCGGGGCACGACCTCTGGTCCCTCTCGCTTTTTACTAGTTGGGGAAGACATGGTCGGCCCTTGGGGTAGGCCGATCGCAGAATATACTTATATGCGAAGTAAGTTTACTAGGAACTTTGAATTAGAACAGGATTTCTGCCCAGGGGCAAAGATTGTCGGTGAGATGATGGGCCTATTCTCGTTCACTTTCATTAGAAGTGCACAAGTTGCTCACGAAAATGCCGTCTTACAGGTACTCGATCGTGACCCACAAGATGGCTTTGGGGCTATGTATGCAGGTATTGTTCCGAAGTTATTCGAGTATCCACAAGAGCTCTTTGCGGGTATCCAAAGTCGCTGATAAGTGAGTGGTCAATTTTACAGCTCAGAGTATCACTCACGAAAATTCCGTTCAAACCAACTCATACAGATACTCCAATCACCAACGCGAGGGACGGACTGAGCTGAGACAGTGGGCGTTTGGTTCGGAGTCAAGGAAGTGGGGTAGTTCAAGTCATCCTTGTGTTCGCTGCACAGGTTAATGGCTGTGTAGAGCAAGCGCTCAGGTCTGCAGCCAGTGCTATGCATTTCCATATACGTAAGGACCATGTTGATGATTGTGACAACGGGTTACCGCACTTCCTCTTCACTCCACATATTCCTTCCGATCTATCTATTTTCGAACGAAGCGAACCCGGCTACGAGAATGCACCGCCTAAATATGTGACCCCGACGCCCAAACGTTTCATCGCGCAGGCTGGTATCAGACACAATCTCGTGCGAGAAGAATCAAAGTGCGTGATATATAGCAAATCGTCTGAATGCTACTCCAGCTAAGCCTTTTTCTAGCTTTAGACGCATAGCTCAATGGGTTGGGCGAACTTGATTTGAAACATTATTGGGACGTAGCCTCTAGGTCGGTTGGATCATCCTGGCGTTTTCTCTGAGGGATAGGTGCTTTTATGACTATTGTTTTGAGCTGACTTTGCTGCGAGGTCCGTGGTTGTGGGACGCATCGCGGTGGATATTGGGCATTAATTTGAACACTCAGTTGTTCATCTTCGAATCATCCAAGCGCGAGGGGAAAAACTCCTCATACATCTACCACCCCAAATCTCAAGCTTCGGGAAGGGTATAAATGTTTTTGCGGTGCCTATTTCCTGGTGCGGTTTGGACACTCAAGGGGCGCAACAGTGGTGGAGGGTGATTTATTGCCTCTGAGATTCTGGCTGCGAGTGTTCCCTCTATTTTGTTGTGGGGAGTAAAGATTTGATTCCGCCCATGCACCGAGTACCGTGGTGGAAGGCTTGGACGGATCGTAGTCCAATATGGACGAACACTGCACGCTGGTCCAAGGGCATCACTATCACATATATACAAACAAAATACAAGCGTAGTGAACTAGATTTCTCCCGTTCCCCAGAACATTACATAATAACTCACAAACCTTATCTCGCGAAGAGACAGACGGACGAGGATCCACACATACTACATACCACTGATCCATTACGCTGACGAGAAAGAATTCATCTCCACCGCCACCTCAATCGGCTGCTGTGACTAAAAGTGTGCTATTCAGTCCTCAGCATAGTGTTAGTAACGCAACTACCAACCTTGACAGATTGAGGAGAATCCACCACTTCGTCGTCGGGATATTTAAACATGTTCTTCCGAGATGTCTGGAGTTCCCCGTCTTGCAACGATCTAATGTGCAGCTCCGGGCGGTACACGCCGTGGCGCATATGGAATTCAGAACGATTCATAGGGTCTTCGCCGGCCTGTAAGTAGTGTCGCGCGTTCAGGAGCGCGAAGGTACGAGTTGACATATACTTGAAAAGCCGTCAGTGGTGAGCATGATTTTTCTGAGAATATTTTGGTCATACATTTGGCCACTAAAAATTCAATACCGAGAAAGATGAAGTTGCGCGGCATCGCTGCGCACTGTAGGTGATCCTCAGAGACAAGACGGACAGTACAATCATTGAAACCTCACTGTAATCATAGCTGCCATTGAACATATACTGCATGAAATATGAGTCAATATGAGGTATAGTCTGGAAGGAGGGATACCTCGTCAGACAGCCAGTATTAATGATGTAACCCATCAGCTTTGTTACGATGGAATTGGTGCTAAGTGCTCCGCGTTAGCATATCAGACCCTGACAGGGAAAGGACCGCTGCTTGCCTGGAGAACCCGGTACGGGAGGTCACGAGGAGATAGCATAGCGACGATGCGATGACGAGATCGAGGAAAGTGGTCGCTCCTGAAGCCACAAATGTCACCCACTCGAATTCAATCAAATCCGTGAACGCATGGCACTGATATCTAATCGCTATCAGCATACTTCGTAAAGCCATGGAGTATGCTTTATCGCTCACATGCTCCAAGCAGCGACTATCATGAGGTGAAAATGATGAAACAGCAACAAGAATACCAGTGAAACCCTCACCAATTGCAGGACCTGAAGGAATTTTCATGAGTGAGCAACGAGGGTTTCTAGGTGACAGACCCACCTGAAATCAGTACCACAATTATCCACTAATATTGGATCATCAGAATCGAGTGCCATTATTTTATTTTAAACCCACCACTGTGATAGGGACAGTTCTTGATCGGCCCTTGCTGACTAGGTGTTCATTGCATTAGTCGTGGAAATCCATTATTAGGGGAGCACATACATATCCATATGCGATAAGCATACATACTGTGGATCAATCAAGCATCACTTGGATCATCAAGTTGAATATCATAGTACACGAACTTACGCTTGTACACTGTAGATGAGTAAAACCTGTTGTGCATGTGTGGGGCGGATTGTAGAACGTAGTAAATGCAACTTACATTGATGATTATCTGAAGCTGAGTGAGCCCATCAGTATTGCAGTAAATGCTACATGGATCCCCTGAGGTAGGAACCCACTTTGAAGCTCCATACAATGTCTGTGAGTGCACTGACGTTCGCGTAGTTGGTCACCAAATAATAATAGACACAATGGACAATCAAGGCAAGGTGCAGAGCATCGAGTGTCCTAGAAGTTCAGGGGATAGCGTGATCTGGATGCGCTCGATGATGGCAACTCGAAGTGATACACACCATAGCCAGATGACCTAACGTAGTAACATCAAAAGATGGACTGACAAAAAGAAACCATGGGACGTACGACTAAAATATGGAATGATATTCCGGTGCCCCTATGCGTCTGAAAGTAGAGGAAAGCTTGAACATTACTTAGACCAAAGAGACTATGATATATGTTAGGATGTCAGAACTCGGTGAAGCGCTGAGATTTGCGAGGAGGTAGTTTGCTAACACTGATGCAATAATGACCCCAATAAAAAGTGCCCCAAACGTGTTCCCGACGTCGATTTGTTGGATAGGGTCTTGCGCTGAGGAAGACATTTTAGTGCTCAGGCTGACTGCAGGGTTGAGCTCAAGCGGCCAGTAAAGGAATGGTCCGTATCCCGCAGCCACAACGAGAATATCGGATAGCCGTACAATGGCCCATCTATATCTGTTACAAATGTGTTATCCACTCTACCAGCACAGAAGCCACAATTCATCACGAGCATACCTTTCAAGAACATTCTGGCTCCCACGGAGTGTGCGGTGACGTTATGACCTCCAGCAAAAGCGAAGACCTCAATCAGGCAAGCATATTTTCATTTATAAGTCAAAGTTCGCCGCCCTCACCGCTTCCACCAAACAACCGCCTCTTGGCGTTAACTACTCCTTATTAACGCCATTCCCAAAAACACCATGCCAATCAAAGCTGCCTTTGATCCGATGTCCATGTTCAAGTTCGGGTGTGGAGGGCAGCACGCCTGACTTGGCATCCCAAATTTTTGTTGCATTCTCGTTGAATCCGACAATCGCAATTTTTGATGTGTTGATCAGGTGAGTACAGAAAAACCTCGACTGGTGTGCAAAGCATGTGGTGCACGAGTTTCGAAGCGGGTTGCAGGATGTGAGATATAGTTGATAACGAGGCCTCGTTTTGTGCTGGCATTTTAAACCCAAACCCACGAAATGTGAAAATTCCATCTGATATCGTGTTTGTCACCAATGAGACATTCGCAATTGTAGTTGAATCCTGATGTTTGAATTCAAAGTTCGGACACCCAGTTGCACGAATAACGAGGATGCTGATTCACCTACACTCGTGTTATAGCCGTTGCCTCTCGGGTTGCGGTGTATCAGTCAACCGTGCGCGTGAGGATCGTCAAGCATTGGTGATGCTCCTTCACAGATGAGTCGAGATTCATTCGCGACGCCAGGGCCATCCTAAGCGCCTGATCCTGTGTAAAATATACTCAGTAACTGCCGCCTGCCCCACTTAATGTTAGCAGATATATTTTGCAGAGAACTTCGTAAGAGTTTTGGTGTCATTCAACTTCCAACAGCTAACACTCAGCGACATGCAGAGATTGTATGCAATATTCATGGCTTCCATGGACGTTGCACAAGATGTCAATCTAGATGCGTCACAATCTACGAAATTGCCTGCCGCAGGTCGCTCAGAGTCCGGCCCCTCACTTGGTGGTCGCACAGTCACAGTGCTTCCCAGCCGGGTAAAGCACTGTTCCAAGGTGATTCTGCTTCCTTGTGCTATCCGTCGTCTCTTCAATCAATGCTGTAGCTTACAAACGTTGACGAGACACTTTTAAGCGTCACTTTATCGCTGCCCTCCACGATTTTCCTTCCAATCACCAACAAGTATCGTCCTTGTACCAAGGATTATCAGCGATCACGCAGTCTTTCCTCAATGCGAGCTTGGTGATCAGTTTGGTATAATGCGGTGAGTTTATTGATTCTCGTTCTGTCGAGCTAAATCACGGCTGTTTTCAGCGGATACATCATCATTCGACCTGCCCGTTTGTGCTGAATCGGATTGTTCGCTGTGTGTTGCATGGACATCCTGGACAACCTGGGGAAAAATAATATCGACAAGGAGGAAGATATTCCATCACATGCGAACCGGAGGCTGCTAGCGGCCTTGTACGCTGGTCCAAGGGCATCACTGTCACATATTAAATGAACAAACGAAATACAAGTGTAGTGAACTATATTTCTCCCGTTCCCCAGAATAATAACACACGAATCTTATCTCGCGAAGAGACGGACGAAGGAGCATCAACGCATACTACACATAGTACAGATCCACTACACTGACGAGAAATAATCCATCTCCACCGCCACCTCAATCGGCTGCTGTGGCTATGTGTGTTATTCAGTCCTTAGCAATAGTAACGCAGCTACCAACCTTGACAGATTGAGTAGAGTGCACCACTTCGTCGCCGGGATATTCAAACATGTTCTTCTGAGATGCCTGGAGTTCCCCGTCTTGCAACGGCTTAATGTGCAGCTCCGGGCGGTACACGCCGGGGAGCATGTTGAATTCAGAACGATCGATGGGGTCTGCGCCGACCTGCAAGTAGTATCGCGCGTTCAGGAGCGCGAGGTAAGAGTTGACATATACTTGAAAAGCCATCAGTGGTCAGCATAATTTTTCGGAGAATGCTTTGGTCGTACATTTGGCCACTAAAAATTCAATACCGAGAAAGATGAAGTCGCTCGGCATCACTGCGCACTGCAGGTGACCCTCAGAGACAAGACGGATGGTAAAATCATTGAAACCTCACTGTAATAATAGCTGCCATTGAACACATACTGCATTAATTGTGAGTCAATGTATGACATAGTATGGAAGGAGGAATACCTCGTCAGACAGCCAGTATTAATGATGTAACCCATCAGCTTTGTTATGAAGGAATCGGTGCTAAGTACTCCACGTTAGCATATCAGATCCCGACAGGGAAAGGACCGCTGCTTGCCTGGAGAACCCGGTACGGGAGGTAGCGAGGAGATAACATAGCGATGATGCAATGACGAGATCGAGGAAAGTGGTCGTTCCTAGAACCATAAATGTCACCCACTCGAATTTGACCAAATCCGTGAACACATGGCACTGATATCTACTCGCTATCAGCATACTTCGTAAAGCCATGGAGTATGCTTATCGCTCACATGCTCCAAGCAGCGACTATCATGAGGTGAAAATGATGAGATAGCAACAAGAGTACCAGTGAAACCCTCACAAATGGCAGGACCTGAAAGAATTTTCAAGATCGAGCAAAGAGGGTTTCCAGGTGACAGACCCACCTGAAATCAGTACCACGATTATCCACTAATATTGGACCATCAGAATCGAGTACCGTTATTTTATTTCAAACCCACCACTATGATAGGGACAGTTCTTGATCGGCCCTTGCTGACTAGGTTCATTACATTAGTCGTAGAAATCTATTATTAGGGGAGCACATACTTATCCATATGCGATAAGCATACATACTGTGGACCAATCAAGCATCACTTGGATCATCAAGTTGAATATCACAGTACACATCGAACTTACACTTGCACACCATAGACGAGTAAAACCTGTGGTGCATGTGTGGGGCAGATCGCAGAGCGTAGGAAATGCAACTTACATCGATGACTATCTGAAGCTGAATGAACCCATCAGTACCATAGTAGATGGTACACGAGGTAGGAACCCACTTTGAAGCTCCATACAATATCTGTGAGTGCACTGATATTCGCGTAGTTGGTCACCAAATAATAATAGACACAATGGACAATCAAGGCAAGGTGCAGAGCATCGAGTGTCCTAGAAGTTCAGGAGACAGCGTAATTTGGACGCGCTCGATGATGGCAACTCGAAGTGATACACACCATAGCAAGATGACCTAACGTAACGTCAAAAGCTATATTGACAAAAAGAAAGTATGGACGTACGGCTAAAATATGGAATGATATCCCGGTGCCCCTATGCGTCTGAAAGTAGAGGAAAGCTTGAACATTACTTAGACCAAAGAGACTAGGATATATGTTATGATGTCAGAACTTGGTGAAGCGCTGAGATTTGTGAGGAGATAGTTTACTAACACTGATGCAAGAATGACCCCGACAAAAAGTGCCCCAAACGTGTTCCCGAGGTCGATTTGGTCCTGCGCTGAGGAAGACATTTTAGTGCTCAGGCTGACTGCAGGGTTGAGCTCAAGCGGCCAGTTGATGAATGATACATATCCCGCAGCACAAGTACATTGGATAGCCATGCACTGGCCCATCTATATCTGCTACAAATGCGATCACCGCCCGGAAGCATATTTAGTCAAAGTTCACCGCCCTCGCGTATCTCTATCCTCACCGCTTCTATCAGACAACCTTCCGTTTGCGTCCAGTATTCCTTGTCAATGCTAATCCCAAAACATTATGCCAATCAAAACTTCCTTCGATCCGATGCCCATGTTCAAGTTCGGGTGTGGAGGGCAGCCTGCCTGACTTGGCATTTTTGTTGCATTCTCGTTGAATCCGGTGGATCCGCCAGCCTCGCGCTCTGAAGAGGGAGGGAATGTCGTCTATGTCAGGACTCAGGATGCTGCTCATGTACTCGTGTCCGTCCGTCAATTGTACTGTACGAGACCCCGAACCTTCAAGACCCTTGGCACCTGCCTCGTGCTAACCCCTTGCGCTTATGCCCCTAGTAACCCTTGCTCCTGCCTCACGCTAAGCCCTGCACGGTGCTCCTAACCCCTACACCGTGCTCCCCACTACACCGGCTGTCTTTTTCGTACGTGCAACGTGCTTTGTTGTATCCATGAATCCTGACCCGCCCATATTCTGATATAGACCTTCATCACCTTTGGTCCCAGTACTCCCAGACACGCCTGCGGCCAGTATATAATATTGTTTACTCGTGCGCACACCGCAACAATCCTACAATTCACCAGCAACAATTCTTTGAAAGATCTCATCAGACACTTCGTCAGCTCAGCCTGGCATGACACTTTGGCTATTCTCCAATCCTCCTCATAAACTGCCTCTCTCATTTCAGTTCGACAACCAACTACCAATTCTACAGTCGCCGACGGGATGGTTTCTTTTAGCACTTCCATGCACCCTCTGTGGCGGTTATGGTGAAGTCGATATTGACGTGTCACATTTCGCACAGTTGACAGTCCCTTCTGACGTAATGGCGCTGGCAGCTGCTCAGTCGGTTGAAACACATTTCAAAGGTAAATTCGCTTCCTTCGTATCGCCCATCGTGTCATCAACTGTTGCAGGTCGTGGGTAATTCCGTCTTTGACACGCCATTTTTTGACAAAGGGCACATATGCCACTGTTTCTTATTCTGGTCAGGAAACGAGATTTCTTAAAGACTAGACATCTGCCGATATTGTTATCTAACTAATATCTCAGGCGAGCCCTCGCACATTTCGCGTCTTGAGGTAATTCATTGCAGTTGTCTGACGCGCCCATAACTTCATTCTATGTTGCTTTCAAAGCCTAACAAAAGCCTAACATCCTTCGTTAGTGTTCATTCCAGGACAGTCCTGCGATGCACCTATACCTCTTCGACGTGCAATGGCAAGATATTGAAGAGGGAAGTCGGGTGCCACTATATTTGGGAACATCGTGGTGCAGATTTCTCCTGGTTTTCAACCACGGGACGTCTTCCTAACTCCTGCAAAACTTTTGTTTCCTGTAAGATCAGCTTTTCATCAATAGCACGAGCTTTCTATTGATAGCAACTTGTACGCTAACCGTAGTCATTCATGCATCCGGTAATTGTACCGGCTGGCTTCTACTTCTTCCTTCTCGCTTGGTCCTTCTGGAAGTTCCGCGAAGATTTATCAAGGAGGGAGCTGAGATCTTGGAATCCGTTCAGTATAGCGTCGGCGCAACCACCACATCCCGCGGTCGTTACAAATCAACAAAGTAATGGCACAGAGAACGCTTTCATGATCCGCAGGATTGTCTTCACCATTTGCAAAGTTAATCTTCTCCCCCTCACAATGTGATAGTATAGTACGTGAGAGAGTAGTGGTGGCGTCATCTCTTGTCAACCTCAAAGGTTTCAACGTGCGTCATTGCAAGTGTGGTATACGAGTCTCAATTAAGATGGGATACATAAATGAACATGAAGATCATTGATCACAAGCTCACGATATAATTCAATAAAAGAACTAAGTAGTCGCGAGAGGAAAGAATGGTTGCCTAAGTGCTAGGATGACCGTCGTCTGTGCCAGGAGACACACAACAAAGAAACAATACAATACGAACCCACCATTTGGGGTTCTTGATGCGTTTTGCCTTGTCACTCGCACTTTCCACCGGTAGAGGTCGCCTAACAACCAATGGCTGCGCAGAAATCATCAGACGCAGACAATTGACACGCTGAAGAAAGACATACCCGCTTGTCTCGACATGCAGCAACTTCGACAACATAACGACTGCAACTGGGAGAGGAGATATTTTGCATCGAGTGTTGCACAAGTTCGATTTCTTCATTGGTGTCGGGTGGAGAGCGGAAGAGTGAGAACAGACGACCAATAAATGCATCTGAAGATGAAACCGACAGCCGTCGAGGTTCTATTTCTCCATCGGTATTAGGTTGAGCGCGGGGCAAGAGTGAAGAAAGACGACCGAGAAGCACACGAGGATGTAACCCCAACGGCGTGGGGGGTTGTTGGAATTCGTTTGCTCCATCACCGTCGGGTTGAGAGCGGTGGATGAGTGAGGAGAGGTGACCAAGGAGTACATGCGGATGCAACGCCGACTGCCTGGGGGGTTGCGGAAGTTCTGTCACTTGATCATTTTCAGGTCGAGAGCGGTGGAGGAGCGAGGAAAGGCGACTAAGGAGTGCACTGGCGGAGGAATGGGCACCACGCGTTGCGGAGGACTGAGAGCACATTGGTCTGGACAAAAACTATGAAAAGAAATGCTGATGACGTACATGAACATCGGCTCGCATGTCGTCGAAAAACCCTGGTGTGAGTTCATCATCGATACCCCCGAGTTGGTCGGGACATCGCGTAGCATCAGCCTAGAATGACATTGTTATAATCATTGAGAAGGTTGACAAACAAGTCGGGTACCTCCAAAAACGACTTGTCATCTATATCCTGTGAGGAATGGGAAATCTGTTTTTTTCCTGAAGTGTCACGAGATGATTCCTTCTGTTTGAGACCGTCTTGTGTTGCCTAGCAGCGGGCGTTGTCAGTGAGAGTGTCGGCGGTGATATGTCGACACTCACAATACTAGGAATAGACAATAGGTCTTCAAGACCAGCTTCTTGGAGGATAGCGTGAATCTCCCACACGTACACATGTTTGTCGTGACAACTGGTGACTAGCAGCCCTCCATCAATGGAAAAGGACGCGCATTCTACGACATCTTTGTGTTGGAGGGGTGGACCAACTGGGAGGTTTGTATCGAGATTCCACAGACGAGCTGTATTATCCCGTGATGTACTCGCAAGGAGACGGTCGTTCCGAGATAAGGAGATGTCGATGATAGTGTTTGCGGGGTGACCCATTAGATTAATGGCGACCTCCTTCCATGTGGCAGTGTCGAAATATCCCAATCCAGCGTTCTGACGCGGAGATAAGCTTCTTTCCATCCGACGTCCAGGTCACGCTGAAAACTGTTCGATTGTGTTCGAGTGTGGCGAGCAGTTTCCCTGTCTTGGCATGCCAAATGTTGACTCCACCCTTGGCCGTCGATCGCTTGCGCGAGTTCAAGGCTTTTTCGTTGTATCCGCACGTCGCAATTTTTGTTCCATCGGGCGAGTACATCGTTGCGAATATCCGCATGTGCCCGGTCTTGATTGTCAGAACAGTTGTGCCTCTCTTGACATCCCACACCCTTACCGTCCCCTTGTGGTATCCGCTGACGACTCGCTCACCATCTGCACTCCAGCACACTGACCCCACAGTATCATTATGCCCTGTCCATCTGGCGATGACCTTCCCCGTCTTGACATTCCACAAACTCACTTTCCCATCATCGCTTCCACTTGCAACAGTGTTACCGTTTGGAGACAATGCTATCGTCTTCAATCCTTCCTTGCTAGTGTTCCTATCGTCTCGCCAATCCTCTCCTATCTGTGCGCCACTCTCCAAGTCCCACAATCGGAGTGAACCGTCCCTTGAACTTGTGATGATGCGTTGTCCCCCGGGAAGGTGTACGACACCTTGAATCCAGTTGGTATGGCCTCGCATCGTCTGGCGGGGCACGACCTCTGGGTTCTGCTGCTTCTTGCTGATAGGGGAAGACATGGTCAACGCTTGGAGACTCAACCAAATCGCGAACTACGTATATCAGAGAAGCCTGTCGGGATCTTTGAATTAAAATTTAAACGGGTTATCTAGCAAGGGCAAAGGTTGTTGGCGAGTCGAGGGGTCTATTATCCTCTTTCACTTTAATTAGAAACGCATGACACGAAGATGCCTTCTTACAGGAACTCAATCGTGATCCACAAGATCGCTTCGGGACTATGTATGCTAGGTGTTGTTCCGGCCTAATTCGAAAATTCACAAGAAAATTTTACAAGTATCTAAAGTCGCCGGTAAGCGAACAGCTTTACAGCTTAGAATATTACTCACGAGAAACGCCGTTCAGACCAACTCACGCAGATGACACTCCAATCCCCAATGCCAGGGACGGCCTGAGAGTTGAGACAGTGGGCGTTTGGTTCGGAGTAGAGAAAGTTGGGCACCCGTTCGTTCAAGTTGTCTTTTAAGGTGCGTCCCTTGCGTTATCCACAGGTTAAATGCTGTGTCGACAAAGCGCTCAGGACTAAGACCAACGCTATGTAAGTCTTTCTATATGTAAGGGACTGCTACATTGACAGGCATGTCAAACATTTCGCAAAGTGCCGCACTCCGCCTCCGCTTCACATGTTTATCAATTCTTCCAGCCTCTCTTTTTTCGAACTCTATGTCGTCAACTCTCCGGCATTTTTGCAAGCAGTACAGCATGCTGTTACTGCATGCTGTAAGCCCTCCCTGACTCTTTTCCAACGGAACGGGGTAGACAAGAACAGTGGGCGATGTGGTCACAATCCAATGAACTGTGGCCTGTTGAAGTTTTCTGCGACAGCTGGTTCCAGCGGTGGCTCCGTTTGCTCCGCTGTAGAAAATTCCCTCATAGATGAGTGGGCGTTCATTCGGAACGTCAACGGTCAGGGCCATTCTAAGCGCCTGATCCTGTGTAAGCTTATACATACTATACTCCGTCACTGCCACCTGTAAAACTCAGCGTTGGCAGATAAGTACAGGGAACAAACTGACATAAGTACGATTAGAAGTCAATATCTTTGTCAGAATACGTTGAGAGCGACCTAAAAGTCTATTGCATGATGCGGTCAGTTGTCCGAAAGACCAAATATGAGCATAAGAATGCCTTCGGGTTGATCAAGGGACTTATAAGGCTGTACAATGCAGATGAATCGTACGATTATCGTGGTCAGGTATGCATGAACACGATACGTGTCACCGCCATAGTTCTGATGCGATGGAGAATGGGATGAGGGAGTTCGAACTAACAGTATTCACCGTGTGAGCTCTGATGCGATAGAGAATGAGATGTGGGGGAGCGCACACGCGTAGTAGAGTCTAACATTTGACGGTCTCGACTCTCATGTGAAATGAACTTACGATGTCAGAGTCCAGTGCATGCCTGAAATGCAATGATTATATGATTATGAAGTACGCACTAACTGAGTCGCGATCCAATCCAGAAAAGCCTTGAATCGTGTGCAAACCATGCGGTGCA